GCTTCACACTTTCATGTTCACATGGCCAGAGTGGCAACACCTATCATTCCCAGTTGTGTAAGAATGTAAAACTACTGTGTGCTTGCCAATCTAAAATCCAAATTCCATTAGTAAGAATATGTTATCTAAAATCAATTTGAGCATTGTCCAAATACTGAAGAGGATCCCAAGCGTTTTCACAGGCTGTCAAATAAATGGGCAGATCCCATACTGACCTTAGATCAAGAGATTCCAGTAGTCCTTGGACATAGGAATTCTTAAATGGTCTTTGTTATCATTGATTGTGACTTATTGTTACTCTACTATTATTATGATTGGTTTTGCTTTAGAACTAACCACTTCCATTTCACACCCATCTGCTCCTTTGGGGAGTTTTCAGAGACTCCAAATCACTGTGGACTTTAGGGGAATACATATATGGTGCATTCTAGTTACTGTTATTCCCCACTCTCCCAGCCACCCCAATTCCCTTTGTCTCCTCTCCACCACCCATATGGCCTTTTCTCCAGGTAATCTTGATTTGTTTTGCTACCTGTGTGCAGTGCTTGTAGAGGCCAGATGAAGACACTGGAGCCCCTGGGACTTGAATTACTGAGGTTTGAGCTGCTATTGGGTGTTGGAAATTGAAGCAGCTTCTCAGGAAGAAAAGCCGGGGCTTGTATCCATTGTGCTGTCTCTCTAACCCCTTGGCCATGTTTTAATTGGGCTGTTTCCTTTTAATTGTTAAATTTGAGGAGATTTCTATTTCTATTTATTCTGGATATTAAATTTCTTAAGAATATTGAATTTGCTAATATTGTCAACTTCGTGTTGACTCTGGTCTGCTGGCATCACGTGACAGATAGAGAAATTTAAAGTCTTCTAGTCTTGGTTTCTGTCACCTATGTCTTTGGTATCTTATCTAAAAAATCATACCAAATCCAATATGATGAAGCTTTTGTCTTACATTTTCTTCTATGAGTTTTAAAGTTTTAAGGCTTAGATTTAGTCCTTGGTCATTTTAAGCTAATTTTTATATGTGGTATTCTAGGGAGTGGTGTAAACTCATTCTCTTGCGTATATGCACACTCTTTTCCCATTGCTATTTATTGAAAAAATTCTCTCTTTCCTTACCGATGGCATTGCACCTTATCAGAATTGCCCACTTAAGGATTTATTTCTGAATTCTCTTTTTTATCTCACTGGTCTATATACCTGCCTTAAAGGTAGTTTCACGCCATGTAAGCACAGCTCATCTTGTTTTCCAATTTGAATGCCTTTGGTATATTTTTCTGGCCTCCTTGCTCTGTGCTGTTGTTGAATAGGTGCAGAGCATCCTTGCTTTGTTCTTGATCTTAGAGGAGAAGTTAGCAGGCTTGTTTATTAGTGGTTTCTGTACTGGGAAAGCCTGTCCCCAGTGATGTAGATCCTCCAGCAAGGACCTGTCCCCAAAAGGTTTCACAGCCTTTCCCCAAAGGGGACCAAGTGTTCAAATATATGAGCTTATGGAGGACATTTCTCATTCAAACCACAGTATCCACTGTGTATTCTTCTAATGTGTTGCTGAATTTTGCTTCTCGTATGTATTGAGAGTTTTAGCATAAAGGGTTTCTTTTCTGTAATTTTCTTGTGTGTTTGACTCTGGTTTTAGGGAAATATATCCCTTATATAATAAGACCAAATGCCATCTCTTCTTCTACTTTTTCCAACAAAGTTGAGAAATTAGTGAAATATATCAGGTCTTTATTTCTTAGGGGATTCTTGACTGTTGTGAAATATCATTATTAAAGACAGATTTCCTTTAGCATTTTGTACATGTCAGCATCTGACTTTCTAGTAACCCTGTCTACTGCAAAGATCTTTAAAACTTGATTTCAAAATGCTAAGTTGCTTTTCTCATGCTGTTTCAAAGATTTTTTCTTCTAGTTAATTGAGGTTTTTGGGTGTTTTGGGTGAATTATATGAATGTAATTCATGAAATTTGGGAATTTGTAATCTTCTCACTGCCCTCTTTTTGCTTATCTTCTAGCATATTTTATCTTTGGCAAATGGTCTTTATGGTTTGATTTCCTGAGTAACCGGCCAGTAACTCCAGCACTCCATCCTGCCCCTGCTCTTCCATCCTTGCATGGATCAGGGTTTCTTCTCTGTCTTCTGGTGTGACATCTTTTGTACTTGTCCCACTCTTCTTAGATAGCGCTCTTGGTTTTCTCTTTCTCTCTTTGATGAGTTGAAGTTCCTATTGTTATACTCGTAAAGCTTTGCGATTGTTTTCTAGACCTGTGCCCCTACCAATAAACCCACAGGGCATTCTTCTTTCCAGTTCTCGTGTTCTGGTCTCTAGCATTTCTGTTTGTTCCTTTCTTGGAATTTCCATCTTCGCCAGCATGCTTTTATAACCTTTCTATTTTTGTATACTGCTTACATTTTCTACTAGATCTCTTTGGATTTTATAGCTTTTAAAATTTGTGGAGTTTTTTTTTTTTTTTTTTTTTTTTGGTAATATGGTGTGCCAATTTGTTGGGAGAGGCTGCTTGTTCGTTCCCAGTTGCCAAGACTTGAAATAACGACTCAGAGACTATATTAATTGCAATACTGTTTGGCCAATAGCATAAACGTATTTCTCGCTAGCTTTTACATCTTAAATGAACCCATTTCTATTATTTTATATTTTACCACAAGGGTCATGGCCTACCAGCAAGTTTTGGACTGGCAGCTTGCATCATTCTCCTCTGGCGGCTACATGGCATCTTACTGACTCTGTCTACTCTTCTCTTTTATCTCTGTTCAGATTTCCCACCTGGCTTTACTCTGTTAAACCACTGACCAAAAGCAGCTTCTTTACTAACCAGTAAAAGCAACAGATATACAGAAGGACTTCCCCCACGAGTCTTGTACATGCTTGGCCAGTTCTTTACTCTATAGCCTTTGAGGCTTTTCCTTTCTTTTCTTCTTCTTTTTTTTAAAGGTTTTGATTCTGTCACTTCACTGTCCTCATTTGTGTGATCAAGGTCTCTTGTTCCTTCATGTTTAGTTCGCCATGCTCTTTGTTGAAAGCCAGTCATGGTGAACTGAGGAAAAAACTTTTGTAGCTGTCCACATTAATAGGTTGACAAGGTCTGAGGAGACACTGTTCTGTCTTCTGTGAGTGGAGCTATTCTTTGATGAGCCCATGTGAGCTCTACCAGTGCTTCTAGGCCCCATGTCCTGTCCTCAGACAGGACGGCTGGATAGCTGAGCATCTCCTCTCTCCCATGGGCTCACATCCCACATGTGATGTGGCACAGCATCCCACGGTGATGCTGTGGTTGAGAGTGTCACCTACTCCTGGTAAAGCCTGGAGTTGGCTAGAGAGGGACTCCCCTTTTGCCGGGTCAGTTAGGCCTTTTAAAAGAAAAAATAAATAGACAGATAGAACCCAAGGAAAATGATTTTTCCCAAGAGAAGGCCTTGTTAGAAAGATAGAATGCTCTGGCATACTTCCAGATGGTTTCTTTTCCCTAGGAGACAGAGAAAACTTTTCTCCAGCATTCATAGTGAGGATCCTGAGGTAGAATGCAAAACTCCTCCCCGCAAATCTCCTACAGAGGCCTCTGCTTATGTATTCCTATTCTGTTGTGATTCCTTGTATCCACCCACCTTGTCCTATGAGGTCACCTTCCCGGGGTATACTGGAAGGGTTGCTTATCTCCAGTTTTTAGGCTAGACTAAATCCTTCCAAGCCCCTCACACACCAGACAGTAAGTCCTATAGCAAATTTTAAGGCTGTGTCTTAAATGATGTTAAGTTCCTGTCATTGGTGGCATGAGTATGTAGAAGACTTAGTTTCTCCGTCTTCTAATTTATTTCCTTAGTTTTTAAATCCCAATGATCTATCTTTCTATATACCCCTTTGATTTATTTTGAATTGCAAATGCTATAAAAATGTTGAAATAATTACTTGAATTATCTTAATTCAGGCTGAATATGAGCTATTTCAAAACTGACTATATTTTAGTTTATTTTTATTACAGTATCTCATGACTCTTCAATGCTTTCATTGTACTGTGTATTATGACTACATACTCACTGATGATTTTATTTCACCTAATATTTATCTCCTTTGTGGAATTTAAGACTTTTGGGAAAAAAATCTGTGGTCTCAGTACTCAGGGATCTAAGACAGAAAGATGACACACTCTAGGCCAACCCAGGGTACACAGCGAAGCCCTACCTCAAGCAGGAGAACATTAAAGAAAGGTGTAAGAGAAGAGCCACATCTGTATTTCTCATCATAGCTCCCAGCTATGCCTTAAGTGGAAAATTTAGAATTTCTTTATAGGTGGAATATATGTGTGAAGGGTAGAATGAGACTCCATGGAAAATAGCAGAAGTTAAAGGAAGGAAGCAGTTAGCCTTTCAATGCATTCCCAGAGGACAAAGATGATTTATTTCTTTTCTTAGTTTTAAAAATGTATCAAAAATATTTCAGAACGTATTTTATAATAGACATAACTTGTTATCACTCAGATTAATAAATATATACAACATATTTATAAAAACATGTATTATTTAGACTTTTAACTTTTTATATTTATTTATTGTATGTGGATCGGATCACTTGTTCTTATGTTATGGCACGTGTGGAAGTCAGAGCTTTATTTAGAATAGTTGCTTTCCTTTTTCTATTATGCGGGTCCCAGGTATCAGACTCGCACCCTCAGACTAGGCAGCAAATGCCCATGCACACTGATCCATCTTTCAGGATGAATTTTGGAAAACAAAGAAGAAGGGTATAAGAAAAAGGAGCCATATTTATTTTTTTATTGAAACCGCAAATTATGGCATAAATGGAGAAAGTAATAGTTCTTCATAGATGGATTACATGGATGGAAGATCAAATGAGACTTCCATTCATGGAAAACAGCAGAAGCTAAAAGAATGGATAAAACAATTATGTCGTTGTGCTGAGTTCTCAGAAGTAGATTAACTCATTATCATTGATTCTTTGACTTAAGGAGATTTTTTCTTCAAACTTTCAGATGATACAGCAGTGTTCGAGTTGATACAGCTAGTTCCACCAGGTATTGTATTACTTATTGAGACGGCAACTCATTGATGAAATGTTATTTTTATTTATGTATTTATGCATTTATTTATTTATATTATGTATATGCTGTTACATATGCATGTATGCCTGCAGGCAGAAGGCACCAGATTTCATTACAGATGGTTGTAAGCCACCAAGTGGTTGCTGGGAATTGATTTGGGAACCTTTAGAAGAGCCACCAGTGCTCTTAACCACTGAGCCATTCCTCTAGCCCCAATTAAATATTTCTAAAAGTCTCTTCTCTCCTCTTCCTGCCAAATAACAGCAGTGCTTATTTTCTGAACCATTGATTCATTGTGTATATGTCAAAACAACAAACATAGAAATGTCAATTAATTCTGAATGCATTGTTCTGAAATTAAATATCTTAAAATAATTAAAAATGCAAAATAATATCTTTAAAATTTTAGGATTTCTGAGAGTAATGCAAAGTGATTTTTCAGTTTTTGAGATTTAAAAATTAAAATTACATATATTTCTAATTAAACAGGATATCTTTTTTTGCTCTTTGAATGTTGTTATTGGGAATGCAGAGGGTAATAGTCTTACCTATTTACAAGTTAAACATGGGTTTCTGAGAAGCGAGGTCACCTATTAAAATCTAGAAACTAGCTTTAGTATTGCTTCTGATTTCTAGGACTGTCAAAGAAATCTTAATTAAATCTTTATTTTATGCAACAGATACCTATATTTTATTAAATACAAGTAATCTCAGAATTTTCAGCACTACACACTGACTTAATTCACTAGCCACAAAATCTACAAAGGGTCTCCACAATTTTTAATGTCCAGTCTTACACTGCATGAGGGCAGACAGATAAGATAGAGGATAGAGAAGATGCTGGAGATGGTAATAAGTTTTTGATGTATAAATTTAATGCAACTTTGTATTTCTAAAGACTTCCTTTTTCTAAGAGTTCATAGGTTCTCACTGAGTGTACATGAATACCCCTATTCTGCAAAGTGTGAGGCAGAGAATTACTACTATACACCGTATTTCTGAAATTGGAAAAAAATGTCTTAAAGTATTTAATCTATCCTTATTTTAATTTTCCTTTTAAAGAAGATAAACATTGCCTTCAAGCAGGTATACAATATGGCATCAGGCAATATATATTTTTTATACTTGATGATTTTGTTTCTAAATAGAATGTTTTGTTATAATTTGAATCATAGGATATCTTTCTTATAGTGGGAGAAACACTGTCTACCTATGATGAAAATACACGAGATTTCATGTTCCCGGGTCCAAACCAAATTTCTGGACACCATGATTCAAACCGCCAGGTTACTATGAGGAGGATTTCTGGACTAAGAGTAAGTGATTATGGTTTTCCAAGTCAGCTCTTGATGCAGGGTCATGGGTGAGAACTAGGTGCAGGCCTCAGTACCTTGAATGTGTAGAACTGACTCAAAATTTGTTTTCAAGCTTATTTTGTATAATTGTGCTATTTTAAGTGTCCTGAAAGTAATAAAAAGAATTTAGCAAAAACTAAGGCATTTATTCAAAACTAACACACATCATAGTGGCTGACATTCTTCACAACTTGTGAAATTCCTCTGCACTGATCAGCCTCAGACCTCCATGTCTGTCACATTTTCTGTTTCTGTCTAGGAAAAGTTCACAAACACTTGAGCAATAACCAGTGTCAACATTTATGGAAACCTAAATTTAAAATGTGACTTTTTAGACATAAGTGATTTATTGAAAAAATATTAACAAGTTTAAATATTTATAAGTTGAAAACTTTTGTATGCTGTATAAGTTGGAACAATCAAAACTCAAAATTCTTTAACAAAGAGCAAGTTTTCTCTAGAGTATTATCTTCCAGGTATATGTCTTTAGCATATACTCACTGGAATGCTATGAACCCTTTTATGTTGCTTTTACCCCTGGTCGTAGGGATGAGACCCCAAGCCTTCTGCATGTTCGTCATCAGTCTACGACTGAGCTGCACCACAGGTTAAGATGTTTTCTCATAGTGCTGTTAACAGTGCTAAGAAATAGAAATGGCTGAATCTTCCAGTGTGGATAAAGCTTGGATAGATAGATTACAAAGTGGTCATAGATTGTAGACCTAAGTGTAAATGCTGTATTAAGAGAGTCTTTCTTTCTGATAGGCAGTAATTGTGTAGCAAATAAACATCATTAGACTCGATAGTGCTTCCACACTCTCTCCCATCCTTTCCTGTAACTCCTCTTGTTTGAAAACACCTTGATTCCTGAAAATCAGCCTGCTACTCAGAAGAACTCAGGGATGCCTCCTTCATCCCAAAAGCAGAGCAGTAAAAGTTATTTGGCTTGAAATTATCTGGGCAAACAGTTTTTAAACTAATTTTATGGAATCTAATATAAATAAAGTGGGTGGTATATGAGCTATTTAGTGAATTAAATAGATTTTTTTCTATGTCTAAGTTTATGATAAGAAGTGTCCAAAGAAATAGCAAGTTCAGTTTGCTGAAAGTGTAAAAGCTGACTATGTAACAAATGAAAACCTTTCTTCTCTGGAATGATTTTTATGTTGTTAGTTAGCTTTTATACTATCCCTATCTTTAAAGAATATTTTAAGAATCATGTGGAAACTCATAAAGAAAAAATATCATATTTAGTTTATGTTCTTGTTAAGGTAATTTAACTCTCTTTGAAGACAGCGTAGAAAGTCAACTGTGTGGACTGCTCACAGGAATTTTCTTTCATCACTTGTTTCTTTTGCATATATTTGGAAGGTGTTTGCTTACTGAGGCAAATATATATAAAAATCAGGACTTCCAGTAACGCCATGTGAAGAGTTTGACAGATTTCCTCTGTATGTTAGGCAAGTGTGAAACTGGGCAATGTTACCATAGTCAACACTGGGTAGTGAACACAGACTAACAAGTATAGCAAGCAGGTGTGTTGAAATAAGGAGCGGCAGGGCTGCGTCCCCGGCACCCGGCCGCCCGCATGGCTAGCTTATGCCCAGAAATAATTACACGGAAACTGTATTCTTTCAAACACTGCCTGGCCCGGCTAGTTCCAGCTTCTTATTGGTTAGCTCTTACATATTGTTCTAACCCATTCCTAATATTCTGTGTAGCCCACGAGCTGGCTTACCAGGGAGGATCTTAACCTGCGTCTGTCTGGTGTGGGAGAATCATGGCGACTCTCTGACTTAGCTTCTTTTTCCCAGTATTCTTTTCTGTTTTCCCCGCCTACCTAAGGGTTGGCCTATCAAATGGGCCTAGGCAGTTTCTTTATTAATAAGAAATCACTCCCACATCACAGGTGATGTTTTTATGCTTGGAAATTGGCTCAAGTTTTAGGTAATATAGGAAGAATTTGGGGCTCCTTTGCCTGGGATGCTTCCATGCCCTGCCTCTCAGTGACAACTGTATCTTTACCAGCTGAGACTGGGCACAAAGATCAACAGTTTTGGCACCATGGGGTTGAGAAGTGGGATGAATAGTTTGACTCTGCCAGCTAAACATAGTGGACCCTGTTGGTAGCTGATGAAGAAACCTTATAGATGTGCAAGGTCCATTGCCATTCTGACTGGGGTCAACTGCTAGAAGATTGACAGGGAGGTCCAGAAACAAAGGGACAAGAAGAAGAAGAAGAAGAAGAAGAAGAAGAAGAAGAAGAAGAAGAAGAAGAAGAAGAAGAAGAAGAAGAAGAAGAAGAAGAAGAAGAAGAAGAAGGAGGAGAGAGAGATGTTGTCTCTCTTTCCTGTCTCTCTTTGAAAGGTAATCACAGGGGAGGCAGGGAGAGATGCAAAGAAGGCCTGGGAAACTAGCTGTAGCTATGAATTTGTTTCCTCTCCTGTCTATCACTGAGACAGTGGAGAGGGAACCCAGAGTGGCTGCTTTGAGAAACTGAATAATAGAAAAGACATGGGCAGAATAGAAACTGAACATCAAAATTGGGTAATAAATCCAGAAATATTAATTATTGTATTTACCTATTAGTAAAAATAAACGCTCTAGTCAGTGGTTTGTAGTCCTGGCGAGCAACAATGACTCATCTTCAGAATTCTTGTGATTCTGAGCTACCTTCTGTGAGTCCCACTACTGTGACAAGGATCCAAACCATTATCTGGAATTAAATAATGGTACTTTTATGAACTTGCTTAGTAAGCTTGGACAACACACAGTGACCTGTAGCTAGCCAGGGCCCTTGGGTGGGCTGATTTGTCATTGAGAGGATCATATGTTTGAACTGTGGCTCCTTCAGTGGTGGTGGGTATTTTCTTTCTTTCTTTCTTTCTTTCTTTCTTTCTTTCTTTCTTTCTTTCTTTCTTTCTTTCTTCCTTCCTTCCTTCCTTCCTTCCTTCCTTCCTTTCTTTCTTTCTTTCTTTTTTTTTCTGGTATATATAAAATGATAATGTGAGTACTTTATTTAAACCAAAAATCTTGGTTGAGTTAAGGTGGGTTGATGGGATGTACAGCAGAAGCCTACAATCCAGGGACATAAAACTGGCATGAGATGAAAGCATTAAATGCTGAAGGGATTTTCTGGAGACCGATAGTGGTTTATACAGGGGACAGCTCGTCTTACTGTAGATTCTGTTTGGATGGTGTGGGGAAGGTACAGTATGTGGCTAGCATGCAGAAAGCCCTGTATTTTATCCATATTCTCACACGTAAAAATTCAGAAAAATCCTATTAAATCTTTTTTTTTTAAAGAAAACAAACTATTTTACATACCAATCCCAGTTCTAGCTCCCTCTCCACCACCCCCACCATCCACTCCTCAGAGAGGGTAAGGCACATTGCTTTGGGGAAGGCCCAAGGCCCTCCCAACTATATCTAGAGTGAACAAGGTATCTATCCAAAGAGAATGGGTTCCCAAAAAGCCAGTGCAAGCAGTCGGGATAAATGCTGTTGCCACTGCCAATGGTCCCACAGTCTGTCCCAGCCATGCAGCTGTCACCCACGTTCAGTGGGTCTAGTTTGGTCCCATGCTGGTTCCTTCCTTATCTGGCTGGAGTTGGTGAACTCCCATTAGCTCAGGTAAACTGTTTCAGTGGGTGTTCTCTTCATGGTCTCGACTTCATTGCTTGTATTCTCACTCCTCCCACTCTTCAACTGGACTTTGGGAGCTCAGCCCAGTGCTCTGCTGTGGGTCTCTGCCTCTGTTTCCATCAGTTGCTGGATGAAGGTTCTATGGTGACATTTAAAATACTCATCAATCTGACTACAGGGCAAGACTAGTTTGGGCATCCTCTCCACTATTGCTTAGGGTCTTAGCTGGGGTCATCTTTGTGGTGAGTATTTCTATGTAGACTCTGAACTCCACAACATTCTCATCTTTGAATTATAGTCTTACTCAGCATCTTATGAAGTAGTATTTAACAGATGCCTCTTGATTGAACTCAGTGAATGAATTCCTTCTTGCCATAGTCTCAGTGGAGAAACTCAGGTTTGAGATGGTGTGATTTTGATAGTTTGACTAGGCCCTAGTGCCCATGCAGCAATCTGGATGTTACTGTAAAGCAATTCACTGATGTGATGAAGATTTATATACAACTGACTTTAAATAGAGATTACTACTTAGCAGTGCAAATGGCCTTCATCTCATCAAGTTGGAGATTGGAATAGCAAAACACTGAGTTTTTTGGAGGAAGGAAGAATTCTGGCTCATGGAAGCAGTAGAAATCCTACCTATTTCTAATAGTTCAACCTACCCCACAGGCTTTCATGCTAAAAAATAGTGTGCCAAATTATTTATTCATTTCCACCTTATTAAAGTGCTCTTTAAATTTCTGAATTGTCATTTCCCACAGTTGTGTGAATTAATTCCCGAAGACAAATCTCTATGCATATGAACAGCCCTACTACATAGTAGGCCCCGAAAGGCTGGAAATATACTATCTTAACTATTGGGATCTCACAGTGTGATGAGCAATCCTCAGGGAAGTTTAAAGTGGAAAGCTACAGGCCAGGCGGTGATAGTGACAATCTTGGACTTCTTAACATTTGGATTGGAGTTGGACTACACATACAGTGGTGACTACGCATGTATTTAGTTAGGAAACGGGCCATACCAGATAGGTTTCTGGAAGTATACCTGATGATGGATTGCCTCATGACACGGTTTTCAGTCCAAATCCTCATCATTAAGTTACACGTGACTGTATTTCTAGAAATTCTTTGGTACTCCTCCCCATCTGGATTTTGGGATTGTTAGGCATCAGTGGTTCTGGCTTTTGGTCCCCACTTGAATGGGAATGTGTGCATAGACTGCCCTGTGCTTGCTGCACAGGTGTACGGTGGGTGCTGTCATATAGATGTCTTCTTAGTTCCTATGTCTTCTGACGGTGAAGAACAGTAGTCTAGAAGCTATGTTGAGCTACAACCAAAGAACCTTACCCATAGGAGGATTCTTACATGCTAGTACTGGTTTTTAAACTGAGTTTAGTATAAGGTTGTAAAAGGTCAGAACTCTTTGCTTCCTTTTTTCTTTTGGGAACATGAGTATATTTTGCTTGTAAGAGGAATACAATTTATAGTCATAAGGAAATCTGCATTATTTTAGAGATCTTTTTGGAGATTTTGGAGATAATTAAAAAGTAGCCTCGCTGCTATGAACATAGTTGAACAAATGCCCTTGTCATATGATCGGGCATCTCTTGGGTATATTCCCAAGAGTGGCATTGCTGGGTCCAGGGGTAGGTTGATCCCGAATTTCCTGAGAAACCGCCACACTGCTTTCCAAAGTGGTTGCACAAGTTTGCATTCCCACCAGCAATGGATGAGGGTACCCCTTTCTCCACAACCTCTCCAGCAAAGGATATCATTGGTGTTTTTGATTTTAGCCATTCTGACAGGTGTAAGATGATATCTCAAAGTTGTTTTGATTTGCATTTCCCTGATCGCTAAGGAGGTTGAGCATATCCTTAAGTGTCTTTTAGCCATTTGAATTTCATCTGTTGAGAATTCTCTGTTCAGGTCAGTGCCCCATTTTTTAATTGGGTTAATTAGCATTTTAACGTCTAGTTTCTTGAGTTCTTTATATATTTTGGAGATTAGACCTTTGTCTGTTGCGGGGGTGGTGAAGATCTTCTCCCAGTCAGTGGGTTGCCTTTTTGTCTTAGTGACAGTGTCCTTTGCTTTGCAGAAGCTTCTCAGTTTCAGTAGGTCCCATTTATTCAATGTTGCCCTTAATGTCTGTGCTGCTGGGGTTATACATATGTTCATAGCAGCATTATTTGTAATAGCCAGAACCTGGAAACAACCTAGATGTCCTTCAATGGAAGAATGGATGAAGAAAGTGTGGAATATATACACATTAGAATACTACTCAGCGGTAAAAAACAATGACTTCTCGAATTTTGTGTGCAAATGGATGGAAATAGAAAACACTATCCTGAGTGAGGTAACCCAGACCCAAAAAGACGAACATGGGATGTACTCACTCATAATCAGTTTCTAGAGATAAATAAAGAACCTTCATCTGGAGATGGATGGAGATAGAGACAGAGACCCACACTGGAGCACCAGACTGAGCTCCCAATGTCCCAAGGAGGAGCAGAAGGAGGGAAAATATGAGCAAAGAAGTCAGGACCACGAGGGGTGCACCCACCCACAGAGACAGTGGGGCTGATCTATTGTGAGCTCACCAAGGCCAGCTGGACTGCGACTGAAAAAGCATGGGATAAAACCGGACTCTCTGAATATGGCGGACAATGAGGGCTGCTGAGAAACTAAGGACACTGGCACTGGGTTTTGATCCTACTTCATGTTCTGGCTTTGTGGGAGCCTAGCCAGTTTGGATGTTCACCTTCCTAGACCAGGATGGAATGGGGAGGACTTTGGATTTTCCACAGGGCAGGGAACCCTGACTGCCCTTCAGACTGGAGAGGAATGGGGAGTGGAGTGGGGGGAGGGGGAGAAGAGTGGGAGGAGGGGGGGAAAGGGAGATGGGGAGGGAAATGGGAGGCGGGGAGGAGGCGGAAATTTTTTTTCAATAAAAAATTATATTAAAAAAATAAAGAATGCAATATGACATGTTTGTAAAAAAAAAGTAGCCTCGCTCTGCGTAGTTGAATATGGACCACACTTACCATATTTTAGAGAAATACATTATGTATAGAGTAAAATATCCAATGAGTGGGTATAGAAGATACTATTGATATTGATTCTTAGGTGATTCAGATGTACCTTTTGTAATGGATATGTTTTAAACTATAAACTTAGTTGGTCACAGACAGGGTTTGCAGAGGGCATCGTCATTGTCTGACTTCCATTGCTTTGGAGAGAAGCTACCCAAGGGCATGTATAGCTTAAGGTTCCAAATGTTTCCTTGGGTGTTTTGTAACTGTCCCCTTGAACTGTCTCCTTTTCTCCATTTATCTCAAAACTGTTCAAGCTGATATTTGAAACATTGGTAGAAATAGAACTCAGATTACTATCCATACTTGAATATAAGATATATTGTAAGAAAAAGGCTATAAAATTTTTTCAGAGACTTCTGTTTCAAGATGGCACAACTGGGAGTTATGATATTTTCAGAAGGCTGCTTTCAAACTATTCCATTAAGAAATTAATAGAATAGAGGAGTGTATTTTGGGATGAACTAGAGGGATGAAATAGAATAGGAAAGTAATAGAATTCTATTTTAATTAAAATGCGTTAAAATATAATAAGATAAAAATTTAATGGATAGTTAAATATTATATATATTTATAATAGACAATGGTGTTTTAATGTATGTAATATTTCTGCAATGGCTAAATAGAGCTAACAATTATGTCTTGATTATACAGTTAAATGTCTTAAATTGTAAATGTAAAGAAAATTAAAATCAAATACGTTCAGATATTTATGACTAATATGTCATAATTTAAAATCTTCAAACACTTTGACAGAGAGACACTTGAAAATGAAAACAATTTTAAATTATTCCATAAAATAAATATAATTGTTCCAAACCAAATCATTAAAAATGAAACTGCTAATTAATAACATTTATCATTACTGTGTTCTTCATGATAATAAAAATATCAGACTAATAAATAAAGAGCCCCGTCTTTAATAGCATTTGTTATTTTAGATTCCATTTTCACTATTGACTGTATCTTTTTAATATGTAATGATACCATTTTTTTTAAATCTCACAGGGAATTGCTCCAAAGCTGGAATTTTCTACAACTTCAGTGATCACGGAATGTTTGATAAGCTCAAGGAAGTGCCGCACTCAGGTTAAAAGGGTTAAACTATTTAATGATCGTGTGGTTCATGTGAATGCGTGTGTGACAGGCCTTATCCCCATTTTGTCTGCATTTCTTCTCGCCTCCCCCGTCAGTCTTTGACTTAAAGTAACGAAGTACCCAACAGTTTGATTGCTTCTTAGTAAACAGGAGAGAACGAAGTTTAGCCCCATGGTAGAGGGTACCACGATATGTTTCCTGGGTTATTTATCTTATGTTGTGGAATTTTAAATATAAGCAGTAGTCAACTGCCAGAAAGAGGGTGAGATCGAGAACTGCCAGAGGAAACTCAGCTGGAGACCTCCATGTATCTTACAGGAGTTATAGGTGACTGCAGAGAAGTCAAGGATACCTTCAAGCGAATGTGGCCGAGTTTTCAGACTGGGGACTTATGTTTAGACTGTGACTGTTTTGGATTTGTCTGATTCCTAGAGAACTGTGGCTCAGTGCAGTGATCATATTGTTCTGTCAGATCAAAGCAAGTTTGGGCATTCCAGTCTAAATAACTTGTATTTACGAAGATTTCCTTTAACAAACTCGGCACCTATTGTTCCTCGTCTTTTTAATTCTTACTGGGTCACAGGGCCATCAGCCTTCTGATGGACAAGTGTCCTTCCACATCAATGCTGGTATCAACCATGTGCAGTTCCATAATGGCCATATTCTGATGAAGGGCCAGTAACATATAAAGGCTGGAGAATTCAACAGGGACCAGACCGGGCCAGTGGTGGAAAGAATTAACTGAATTATAGTTTTAGAACTAATTTTCTGAAGACAGTAAATGACCTAAGCTAAGAAAGTTTCCAGAGAATTGGAGAAAATTTTATTTTGATAGAAAAATATTTAGGATTCCAAAGTCAGGCTGTATCTATTTATCATTTAGACACAGATGTTGGAAGTCTGACCAGCCATGTTTACCGTGTGTGGGGAACCTTACTGACTGGTTTCTGATGTACTCACTGTGAGCATTTGTAAATTGTTAAAAATGCTTTGCCCAGTATTTAGTTATTCTCTCTGGAGTTTATTAACTTAATGAATAAATAGAAAAGTATTTTTATTTCTTAATGCACACAGAAAACATTTCTAGTGTACATCTCAATGCAAGAGCCCTTGTAAATGTAAGGCCCTGCCCTCAGTTACGGTCATTCCACTTTATGGACTTAGGATTTAACATTTTCTGAAAAATACTCTTCCTTTTCCTTGTTTGGAATTGTCATTTGATCTTTACTAACAGAGATGTAAGAGAGTAGGGTTTTATATTAGACAGCACTTAAAACTATGCTTTAGGTCTATAGATGTTTCTTGTTGTGACTCAGTGAGTCACTTGTCCTACCAAGCATGAGGCCCTTGGTTCAATTCCCTGCCAAGGCTGAGAGGAGATGGCTGAAGAGAGGGGAGGGGAGGAGAGGGAAGGAAAGAAAAGTGTGGAGGAAAGAATGAGAGAAGAATGAAAGGGAGGAAGGCAAAGGAGGAGGGAAGTACCGTTTCCAAATTATTTATGTTTGTTAGCAATTCAATGGTTTGAAAAATTAAGGGTATTGATGTGACTTTCCAAAAGAAAACTAATTTTCTCTTCTGCTAATTCTTTTTACCCGTATCAAGGAGAATTTATTGTTGCATATTGACAGACATTTTAGTATGTTGTTAAACACTGTTAAGGTGCAGTATCCCTTAGGTTTTACTGTATAACAGTTCCCCCCAAAATGATTTATAGTCACAGGTGCTTCTCAGTTCTGGGGTTAAAGGATGATTCCTTTGGACTAGATTGGCTGGCTAAGGCTGAAGGATCTGGGATTTTTTTGCTTAAACATGGCGTTTGGCAGTTGTATTTGGGGAGGATGAAAATCATAAGACTCCTCTTCTAGCAGGCTAATAATTGTGCCTTCTCGCTGTAGGAAAGATTCTAAGGAAGAGTCAACAGTCTTTTCAACAACCTGGCCTTCTGACAGTGTTCTCTTGATCAAATAAAGTTGCATAGTCAATCTGGCTTGGTCCTGGGCCAGAAACTAACACTGTGTAGATGTAGAAAAGGGAATTAATTATGGCAATCATTTTTGGCAAGAATACACATAGCTAATATTTCAGTATAGAAAATAGGGGCCATTAAGGAATGGGCATGTTTGCCCCCGTGCATCTGTAATGAATGCCGTGAAGTTTGTAACTTAGGAAACATGCATCATTCAAAAACTTTTCTGAGGAAAGAGGGTGGGGTGGTATCTCTCAGAAAGAGGGTGGGGTGGCACCTTAAGATGAGGTATAATCAGAGGTGGCTGTGTATAAAGAAACTTAAGCATCACTTTAGGAGTTAGCTGTGTCCAGAAACCAACAATATATAAAGGGTAAGGTGCTAGAAGTCCAGGGACTGATGTGATATGAATGTACTTACTAATAGATACAGAGTAGAAGAAATAGTTTGAGGAAAGGAGATTTGGTGAGCAGGAGATTCTGTAGATGTAGTGTATCTGTAGGGAAAGATGTGGTTGACAGAGTTAATTAAAGCTGAGTCGAAGGGGCTCTGATGCTAAAGAGGTGTCAGGTGCACATCTTTAATGGCTTAGGCATCCTCAGAGAACCTTTGTGATTCTAGAATGTCTCTCTGAGAGTCACTGTGATACCATAGAGGTGGGTGAGGGGAGAGGAGAGCTCTGGCATATCCACTGGCATCTCTGAACTGCGTGGGAGAAGGTCCTGGAGCATACCAAGAGGCACAGAAGAGAAAATGACCTGCTGTGAGACTGTTCTCATTAGAAACATCTTTCTTTTCTCCTATCTATCATTCACTTGATAAAATGACTCTCATTTTGCTTCATGTTTGTATTTTAAACACTTAGTCCTTGCACTAAAGGGGTAGAGAAAGTGGAGAGGAATTTGGATGGGTGGTTTTCCAAGGGATTAAAATGAGGAAGACAAAGATCTTTAGCTGTTTTTCTCTAACCATACAACTCTAGAGAAGAAATATATTATTAACTTCCAATCTCACTGTTAAGGCATTTATAAGGCAGAGTATAGTAGAATGAAGGATTACTTGAGTAGCAGCAAAGTTGGAGCTGTCATATATGTTTTCATTTTTATTGTATTTTATTTTAGACAGGGCCTCATTTATGGTGTCCAGCCTTGACTGAAAATTCTGGGTCTCCAGAAGCCACCTTGCCTCAGTTTCCCATGAATCCCATGTAACTAGATATGTAGTTAGTTGCCGCTGATCCCAGCTCAAATTTATTTTGTATTTTAAAAAAATTTAGACTACTACCATATTTATAAGATGGAGGTACTAGTTAAGTTTATAATCTATCTGCCATAGATAGACGGGATGAAGCTTTGCTGGTAGGCCACGACCTTGTGGTGATATACAGGTTAATAGAAATGGGTTAAATTAATATGTAAGAGTTAGCCAATAAGAAGCTAGAGCTAATGGGCCAAGCAGTGATTTAATTAATACAGTTCCCGTGTGATTTTTTTTGGGGCTGAGCAACTTGGATGGACCAAGCAGCCTCTCTCCTTGCAATCTTTTATGTATATTTAGTTTTATAAAAAATGTAGGGCCAGAAATAAGATGGTACTTTAATCTGTCACTGAATAGTTAAATTATGACTTGGACTCCTATATATCTTATGTAATTCAAGCCAAGCACTTCAGTAAAATATATATCAAGTGCTTTATTGTCTTGTGTTATACATATGTTATATATAATTCTAGCATAAATAGGCTTATTTTAATAGTTTTTTTTCATGATTTCACAGCTATCTAGACAAATGTATTTTTAGACAAGGATCCTTTGTTGCCCAGGCTCAAACTGCCTCAGCATCCTATCCATATTTACAGACATGTTTGACTACAACATATTAGACATGGACCCTTTAAAATAAATGTAGGTCTTTTAAATTTTGTGGCATTTACATGAATATAAATATAAATGTAAAAAATAAATGTCATTTGCATTATTTTTTAGTTTTTTGAAAGATAAGTTTTTGACTTATTTTGAGGACAAGCTTATTTCTTGGAATTCTACAAGTGATTAAGCATTGGCCTTTGGTTTTCATTAAACCAATGTTAGACGTAAGAAAGTTTGATAAAGTAAACTGTTAACTAGGAGAATATAGATTTGATTTTCCTCAGGTAAGTGTGGCTAATGTTAAATTGAGTTGGCTTTGATAGCTTTTGTGTACCTTAATTTACTCTTAAAAGTTCTTTCCTTTTTGTAGAGTTTTCTAAAAAATATCTTTTGCCCACATGAACGTTTATTTTTTATGTTTAGGATAAATTTAATTACCATTCAGCTCCAGTTGAAAAATCCCACGGCAGACCGCAATGCAGAACATCGAGATCACAGAAGAAGAAGTCCAAGTCACCCGAGAGGAGTAAATACTGCGTAAACACCAAGAACTACGAACAGCCTACAATATCATCAAAGTCACACTCTCCTTCTCCCTACACAAAGAGACGGATGTGTGAGCTCTCCGAAGACACCAGGCGGCGGCTGGCCCATTTAAATCTGGGACCCTATGAATTCAAAAAGGAAACAGATAAGCCTCCATTTGTGATTAGACATGTATGTGCTCATAAGCATTTCCACTGGAAACGTGTCAAATTTGTTCTGTCGCTAAAATATTATGCTGAAATAGATTTCAGTAAGCAGCCCATATGGATAATTTTCTTTCTTGAACTCTTAGCCAGGAGCTAAAGGTAGAAAATTAACTTAAAACCAAAGAACATGCTTTTTGTTCTCTTTTACAAAGTCTTTAATGCTGACAGAGATCAGCTCCATTATGACGCCGTCTTGAGACTTCAGAGTTCCCACTCCCTCTCACCTGACACAGCGGGCAGTGCTCTAATCTACAGTTGAACATGGTTGCAATGTACAGTGATGCTAAAATGTCAAAGTAGGATTTTAAAAGAGGAAACAAAGGATGAGAGTGGAAGTAGATGTCCTTTGAGAGCAAGTCCTTTGGGGAAGCTTTGGATTCTCAATCTTTGAAGCCAGCCCTCGTTTGGTGGGCATGAATAGGCGGGCCTTTGGATTAATGGTAGCATAGCTCTAATCTTTCTGTGCACAGCCTTACGCTATGATGGGAGTTAGAGCTGTGTGTTCCTCATAGACTGACTTTGGTTAAACTGGAGTGTCCGCAGTCAGAACACTCATCCCAGGCTGTCTCAGTTTCTTGAAGTTTTACAAAGTACTTTTACTTTAAAAGGCACTCTACCAAAATCTTCCTTATTAACCGAAACACTATGTATTTGCATACATACTAATAATAAGCCTGTGTTTAAATGCCTGTAGAAGCAAGTATTTACTTCTTCTAAATTCTAAAATAGCTATCTATTTTAGAACTATTATTTTAAATACACTCCTTTGGAAGTCAAATAATTTTTTGGATATAGCCAGGTACTCCAAAAGTTATGAGTTTTCCCTCTGAAATCCTTTAAAACCAATTCAAGTTATGCAATATTTCATACCATTTTTATGTTTTTCTTATAAATTAATCCTTTATACTTTCAAACTAAATTAGTGATTTTTAAATTAAAAACTACTAATTAGCCAGGTAGTGGTGGCACACGCCTTGAATCCCAGCTCTCAGGAGGAAGAGGCAGGTGTATTTCCATGAACTTGAGGCCAGCTTGTCTAAAGAGTGATTTCCAGGACAGGTTACAAAGCTACAGAGAAAGTCTGTCTTAAAAAACCAAAACCAACCAACCAATCAACCAACTAACCAACCAAACAAAAACAAACTACTAACTATAAAAAATTTGACTTATAAAATTATAGTGTATTAGCTACCTCTATATGGTAACATTTATTAATTATTTTCTTGTTTCTCTTATTTGATCACAGGTTTGGTCCTGTTGGACGTAATTCAGACAATAGTTTGCTTGTATCACTGATGAAAATTTGAGAATGCCTTTAACTTTAATACTACTCATAATTAAAAATTAAATGTAAAAGAAAAGATATACTGTCTTCTAATTTGAGAGAATAATCCGCTGCTTCTTAATTAAAATGCTTGTATATGAAAGCTAAGAAGGATCTAGGAGTTAGACACATAAATGTTGTGGAAAGAACTGCTCTTGAAGTGCTAATCATGGCAGTGATTAAAAGTATAAACTTTGTGTTTTTATTTTTCAATAGAATGTTTTCTAAGTTACATTTTTAAAAGTTTTGACTATTTCATACATGAATACTGTAGTTACATTACTTATACCCCTTCCTTCCCCTCCTTTATGTCCCCCAAACCCATAACTTCTTCCATAATTACCATTGTTTTATACATATATATATATACATATATACACATATATGTGTATTTATACACATACACACCTACAGGTTCCATTAATGCTGCTCATATGTACAAATAATTAGGGCTGACACTTGGATTATATAACCTGTTGGGGGGCTTGTCTCTGGAGAAGACCGATTCTCCCTCTCCATGGCCTCGGGTTGTTTGTGGCTCTTCATCTAAAGTCATGATCAGGACTTTGTGAATTTTTCCCCATCCATGTTGGCATGTTAACTGTGTTGTGATTACCCAGGTCTTGTTTATGTAACCATGCTGTTGAGATATCAAGGGCAGCATGAGGTGGTATACACATTTAATCCCAGTATTTGAGAGGCAGAGACAAGTGGGTCTCAGTGAGTATAAAGCTAGCCTAGTCTACATAGCAAGTTCCAAGACAGTCAATAATACAATTCTCAAAAACAAACATATAAAACCAAATCCCCTCAAAAACTTTATAATTTTTACTTAAGAGGTTTACCCCTCAACTTTTCTGCGAACAGAAATGCACCCTTTTAAGTACATGTAAAAATTGTCTATATTGTTGAGGAGGCTTTGGATTTAGAGGGAATTAAGGGACAAACAAACCATTCATGGTTTCAGAAGTACTTGGGAAACTGGTGGCAAAAGAAGTTTAATACACACATATGCAAAAACCTTACAAAAACAAACATAGTGACAGACAGACAGACATACAGACACACACACAGAATGAGAGAGACAGGAAGAAGTGAGAGGAGAGAGAGATTTTTATCATTTCAGCTATACAAAGGAGATTCCCGTGTACCTCAAGAACTTCCCCATTCAGAACCATGTACTCATGAAGTGCTCCCCATTCTTCCTGTCCCACTGAAACTCCTGATCTTGTCTCTCTGAAGCTGCCTGTTCTGCCTGTTCAAATAAAGAGTCAACTTATTTTAGCACAACTCACTGATGTTGCATGTGTTTGCACCTAAATTATATTACTGGATAACGTTACATTGTGTGGACATCTGTCCCTTTCTGTTTATATATCATGTCTGTTGATAGACGTTCATGTTGCTTTCACCCTTGGCTACTATAAACAATGCTCTAATGAGCAATGTGTGTACAAGTCTTCGAATAAACCTTTGTTCTCAATGCTCTTGGGTAAAGACCTAGGAGTAGTCTTGTTTTATCATTTGACAACCTTATATTTAGCTGGAAAACTTGCCAAAGTGTTCTTCAGAGTGGCTGTACAATTTGCACTCTGTCAGCTGTGCAAGAAGGTTGCAATTTCCCTTCATTTTCACAAGCACCTAAGCACCCCTGCCCTATGGTGGTTAGGGTTAAAGCCAACGCCTCTTGGATACAGACCTGCTTAATTTTCTCTGTAGCCTTCTTAGTGTGAGTAGCATCTCCTCGTGGTTTCATTAGCATTTCTTCAGTGACTAATGATGTTAAGCATCTCCTTATGTGTTACTAAATATCCTTTAAAATGTCTACTTAAACCCAGGAAGTGGGGCACTTGGGAGACAGAGGCAGGTGGATCTCTTTGAGTTAGAGGCAGCCTGGTCTATAGAGTGAGTTCTAGGACAGGCTCCAAAGCTACAGAGAAACCCTGTCTCGAGAAACCAAAACAGAAATGAATAAATGAAGATGTCTACTTAAGCCATTTGCTCATTTTGCAATCTTTTCTTTATTGCTATTATTGACTTGTAGGAATTCTTCATATGATCTAGTTAATCTCTTATCAGATACAAATCTTCATTTTTGTTATCCTGAGTTAACTTTTGTTTTTGTTTTTCTTTGATTCACAAAAGGTTTTAGTTTTGATCAGTCGGGGCATCTTTTCAATACACTTATATCACTAAGCCATTTTTATTTTTAATTGGAAAATGTGGTTGACCTTTCTTATTTGTTCACTTTCAAGTGTTTAGTAAAGCAAAGACCCTTATTGAATTCCATGTATGTGCTAAACTGGGCAGGCTTTTTCTAAGTCAGGCAAGGTAGGTTGCTCAAGGATGTTTTTGTCTCTATTTTTGTACCTTTGTAATCAAAGCCAAACTAGGAAACTGGGTATTACTTAGCTTCCAATTTGTCCTTTTTTTGTTGGCATTTAATTTTAGCTCTGTTGAAAAGGGCATAATAAACAAGTGATTAAACTCTGACTTTGGAACAGAGAAGCCGTGTGGAATTCACCTGCTGTGTGGCATATGCTCTGTAGTTGCTTAGCCATGCCGTAAGACTGAGAATGGGAACGGAAGGTTGAAGTGCTCTTTCACTGTGCAAATTCTCTTTCTTCTAGGTTGATCCCCCAAGTCCCAGGGCTGATTCTTTATTTGGACCACCTGGCAGAGACTGTGAAAGAGATGGATGGGCCAGGATGCACAATGGTAAGGGGGAGTTCTTTCTCCTACTCTTGTTGCTGGAGCTACTGTCAAGCCTTCCCTGGCACTGATTAAGGAAAGCCCAATTTTTGGTGCATTATTAAATTTTGTGACAAAGCTTTTTGCAATGAGAAAGAATTGGATCTCTGTGCTGTTAAAAGCATACCATTCTTTTAGATTAAAATGAATATTAAATAATTTTAACATATTAAATACTGTAGTTCCTTTTAGTAAAAATAGTTTTTTTTACTCAACATTTTCTACACTTATTTGACTATGAAACACATTTCTTACTTTAACATGTGTTCATTTATAGGACAGGTTTTGAGAAATACCATAGTGAAATAACTCAGGTTTATAGTTTTGGAATACATATATCCACTTATTTATATACATATAGCATTCTTGAAAAGTAATTTTAAGCCCCACAATAATTAATCAATACGGATATGAGATAACATGGCAAATGTTACCATGAAAAGTATGTAAACATACACACTTAGCAAATAACAGCTAAAATGATATTTCTGAAATAATGAAATCCTTAGATTTAATTTATAAGAAAATGTTTTGTTAGCCCTAGTCTCTTTGGTGAGATAAAGTTCAATGTGAGGGTGTTTTTGTTGTTTTTTAAAGATGCTTAGATGTCATCATATAGTAAAGAGTATATGAATATTAATATCAGTAGACAGTGATAGTAGCTCAGCAAGTGTTCACTGGCAACCTTTAACATTAATTTCCTACACACTGAGGAATCTTGGTAGAAGAAAAATGATATAAGAGGAAGAAAAATGGAATCATAACATGCAGTGAGCTTGGATGCTTTCCATTTCTGGCTGTATTATATACCTTTTTAAATGAAAAAATAAAATGCTCTTTTTAGAAAACATACTTTATTGTTGTTTAAGCATTGCTAAAGAAAATGGACTTTGGTTAAACTTGAATGTTTACAGCCAGAACATTTGATGAAAGACTGTCTGAGTATATTCATAGTTTCTTGAATTTTTCTTTCTTTCTTTCTTTCTTTCTTTCTTTCTTTCTTTCTTTCTTTCTTTCTTTCTCTCTCCCTCCTTCCCTGCCCCCTGCCTTCCCTCCCTTTCTTCCTTCTTCCATTTGTATTGTGTTTTAGACAGGGTCTCTCTAAATAGTTCTGCTGTCTGTTTCTCCTCTTAGCAGAAACCTGACATAGAAAATAGGCTGTGTGAATGAAGCAAAGGGAAGTAACTTCCATGTTGGTGTGTGTTGGAAAGATTGATTTGCAATACTACGTACCTGATCTTATTTGTTAGCGAGATGGCTAGTCTAATGATCCGGCTGAAGCCATCAGCTGTCTCTGTAGAAGTACACTGAGAATGTCAACATGAGTTTCTTTTAGGTTTTATTTTGGTGTCTTTTCATACATGAGAGTAGAAACAGTACAAAGAGTCCCTATCTTGCTCAGCACCCACAGATAACATATGCTTTCATTCTCTCCTATTTTTCTTTCTTCTCTACTTCTCACCCCCAAATGTGTCTTTAGTCTCAGCAAGAACATTGTTATAGACTTAACAGTAGCCCCTAAAAATTTGTATCTTGAGTGGTGCATGCTTGTAATCCCAGGACTTGAGAAGCAATTGCAGAAGGATCAGGCATCCAAGGCCAGCCTTGCTACATAGCAAATTTGAGTTCATCTTGGATTACATGGAACCTTGTCTCAATAAACAAAAACAGATAAAAAATCAATCAAATAAATGACACACACGCTGTATGTTGGTGCCCAAACACCACAGACAGCAGTTAGCAGTGGGGCTTTTGGTGGTTAGGTTTAGAAGAGATTGTGAGAGTGGGGCCCTGTGATATCGTATGATATAAAAAAAATGCCCTGTAAGAAAGGAAAAGATCAGTCTTTTCTCACTGTTATATTAGGACTCAGCTGGAAGGCGACATCTTCAATCCAGAAAGATCAATGGTACCAGAATTTGGTCTCCCATGTCCAGTCTCCTGAACTATAAGGAATAATTTATTATTTGAGCCACTCAGCCTTTAGTACTTTGTAATGGTGGACCAAGTAGACAGATGCAGACGTAGTCTTATATCTTATAAGCCATTTGATTTATGTTTTTGAAGCCTTTGCCATTTTTCTCAACAAAATTTAGTTAAGCCCATCTTTATCTGATTATTTTGAGGATGAGCTGTGTCACTGTTGTCTTTATAAAAATGTCTGTCCACAGGTTGTTGTTCTCACTGACAGTGCCAGGTCTGGTTTCCATATCATGGATCAGGACTTAATTTCAATTTAAAATGTAATTTTTTCCTCAAACAACATTCATGCCACTGTTACGCCAAGGAGCAGTTCTTGTTAGGAGATCACTGTTATAGATCCTAGAGGTCATAACTGGGTGAGATTGATAACTTGGAAGTCTCTTTTACAAGAGTCAGTTCCACATGAGATTGCAATCCTATATAGTCATTTACTCATTTTCAAGTTTGCTTGATGTCTATTGTTTTTAAGGCATTATAAATCCTTGAATTTCATGTCAATTTAACAGTAACAGATAGAAATACATCTAAATTAAATAGCATGCAGGCATCGGGTACTTATTAGCAAAATGCTTTATTTTAAATATTTTAGCTTTAATTTAACTCTATCTCTTCTTTTGCTTTCTCATAGAGCTATAGCAACTGAGCAGTCATTTCTAGGAGTATTTACTTGGTCTCTTTCTTTTTTATTTAATATCTTCACATTATCTGGTTATATTTTATATACCATAAAATTTATATTTTAGTGCAAAGATTTTAATACTTTCATACATATGAAATTGCCACTATAACCCATTTATAGAACATTCCCATTGTGTCGAAAAGTCCCTTACATCTTTTGTAGTCACCCAGTTCCCATCTTCAGCTCCTGTGGTATCCACACATTTTGGTTATTACTAGTAAGGTCACTGTGAGAATGTGCTTTGACCCCTTCACATAGACCAATGCTTCCACTTCTCTTGGGTCTGTAGGAATGGAATTCCTGATTCATATGGTGAACCTACTAATTTTTTTTTTGAAATTTCTAATACTTTCCAAAGTGGCTACACTATTTTATAGTCTCACCATTAGGATATGGCATTTCCAGTTTCACCACCTCCTTGACAGTGCATGCTGTTTTCTTTTTACCTATGCTGTTCAGGTGTACATTGCAGTCCTAAAAATGAAAACAATAAAAATAGATAGTTGACCTTCTGTATATACAGGCTCTGCATCCACAGTTTAACAAATCACAGATCTAAAATATTTCACAAAAAAATGTGACCATGCTAAATATGTACAGACCCTCCTTTATTGTTACTATTTCTAAAACAGTATGGGAGCCATTCACATAGCATCTACATTACATTTATATTAGATAAAATCTTAAGGCTGTGGTAAGTATTCAAGAGTGTGAACATAGGTTCTATGAAAATATCATGCCACTTTAAGAAATTCAAGAATTCATGGAGTTTGTCAGTGGTAATGGTCTTGGCGCTGTTCTCTGCTGGGTACCAAAGGAGCCTGTGCCGGAGGTCAGAAGCAGCAGTGTCAGGTGAATAAAGCCCAGACAAGGAAGAGATGTGAAACACTGCTGGCCTCTCCCTTTTAGCATGGTGCATCCCTGGAGAGATGTTGAGGGCTGGACGGATGATCTGAGGCTTTCCCTGAGGCCCTGATGTGTGGAAAGGAACACAGCTCAGAGGGAGTAATAGCCTAGGGCCAGGTCCTTCAGGGAGCTGTGGTTTCTGATTCTGAGAACCAGCTCTTACCTGAGGTTTGAAGTTGTTTGAGATCACTCACAGTATCTGAGCCAGCTGTTTCTTATTCCTTCAAACTTTCCTGAAGTAGAATCATGCTTATTATGTCTTGTTCAAGTTTCACCAGGTTTACAAAGCTTTTTGATTGTCTTCAATCTTACCTTAAGGGGTACATTTTAAAATATTAATTACTTGTACCATTCCTGTATCTAGCCTGTTCTTTTGTTTCTGTTAGTCAACATTGTACAGTGTAACTAAAGTAGATTCTGAGTTCTTTATGACTATAGGCTGTGACTTTTATCTTCTGTTGCATTTAGAGCTTAGTTGGTTCCTAATTGTTAGTGAGAATTATTAAATGTGAATGTTGGGAAACTGAAAATCAAAGTTAAAAGCTTCATCTGTAAAATATGAAAGAAAATTATATAACTGTCAAATTATATTGAATTTACAAATGGTTTGTGAAAAGCAGAAGATATACCAGTATGTTCATATATGGAAACTGTTGGGATATATTAGTTGTAAAAGATTATTATCTCAATTCTTAAAACTAGATTGTGTGTGTGTGTGTGAATTAGAACATGATTACAGAATAACAAATTAGGATTCTGACTTGCTTACTAAAAATCTAACAGTTTATAATGCTTGAAACTTGGATCTTGAAAATGTAAGTCTTTTGAGTAATATATAGAGCATCAAATATACATTACATTATGATATTGTTATTTGGAGAGAGAATAGGATTCAATTTCAAAGCTATGATGTAGCTACTATACTGTCCACTCTCATGAGTCATAGAATGTAAGCCAGCCTTTGACTCAGACATAGGTAAGTATTGCTTCCATGCCCTGAAATGAGGACTGGAACAGAGTTGGAGTATGTAATTTGGCTGGAAAAATATATAGAAAGGGATATAATTAGAAATTTAGTTTAGATTTGCTTGAATTAGAATTTGATGTTGAAGTTAGTTATCTTTGTGCTTTTAATTTTACTTTAATCATTAGCAATTACAGTAATATACAACTTTTAGACAATGTTATAATACATTGACATCAGACAAATTTGAAATCTTGACCTAACAGTTTAAGGAAAATGATTAGTACCATAGAGTCAGTGTTGGAGTCTGTGAGTTCCCTGTGCCCCACCATAGATATAAAGCACATTTCTCTATAAACTGACTTAGTCACTGAAATCACACATTTCTTGAAGACTCATTGGTTTACTAAAATTAATTATTCTTGTGTGTCTGTAAAGTCAGATACTTCACACTCTAATGAAAGAACTCTCTAAAGTCGTTGACCTGTGGAAGAACTGACATGTTAGCCTGCTGGGTTGGTGGTGTTTTGCTGCTCTAGCACCGTGGAGGGATTTTAAAGTGGTTTTGAAATCTGCTGTCTAGCTTGGGTTTGAGAAATGTCGATGATACTGAAAATCACAGGTCAAGCCATTTTTTTGCCTTTCTGATGCTGTGTATTGATCCTTTGTCCTGTGCAACCTTTTCCAGATCACCATCACTTTGGCTGCTGCAGATCCAAGGATTATAAGGTGTGTCAAACCAATATATTATGACAAGTGCTCTGGTTTTCAAACAGCATGAGAATATTTCTGCTGTGGGAGTCTCCTCTGTGTGCTGTGATTAGCATTAATGAATAAAGAAACTGCCTTGGCCTGTTGATAGAACTTAAGTAGGTGGAAAAGATGGAACTGAATGTTGGGTGGAAGAAGGGCAGAGTCAGAGCAATGCCATGGAACTGCCAGAGACAGATGCTGGGAATTTTACCCAGTAAGCCACTGCCACATGGCGATACACAAATTACTAGAAATGGGTTAAATTAAGATATAAGAGTTAGTCAATAATCTGGTAGAGCTAATGGACCAAGCAGTGATTCAATTAATACAGTTTCTGTGTGGTTATTTCAGTTCTGGGCAGCTGGGATGAACAAGCAGGCCCTCCTCCTACATTTTTTCTGCCATAGAAATTATTATGGAAACTATCATTTATTTTATAAAATAATTTAAAAGCAATAATTGACCCAGCATGGAATGCTATGGTTTTGGTGGCTGTACCAAGGGGTTCAATATGCCTTTTCTGAATATCTTCCTACAGTTATGCTACGGGTTTCATTATCCATTTTGACTAGTTGTTGAATTTAAATGTGTGAGTGTGTGTCTGTGTGTGTATGGGGGGTGGAGGCATCACACACAAATGTGTGTGCACACAACATTGATTTGTGTAATATAAGTATGTGTATTTAATGCATATATGTAATATATGCATACACATACATGCATTTGTCTGTGTGATTTGAGTGTGTGTTTAATACATATGTGATAAATTGTCTACAGGTATACACACATACACATATATATCTTTGCATGCATACATGCACACACAAGTGAGATATCATGTCCAATATCCTACATGGAGTTATTCTAAAGGCAGACTTTGTTAACTTCCTTTAAATAATGCTCAGTTTATAATTAATTTGTTTTCATCTTTGTTTACATTTCTCTTCTTTTTCTTCTTTTACTAATCAATAAGTATCAGGCTATCAAGTGTTTTATTGATTTGCTTCTTAATAATTGCTATTACCTGTTATATTGATATGATATGCAAATTGTATGAGTAATTTGATTAAACAATCAAATATGGAGAGAACAGGTTAAGATTTTCATGGCACTAATCTGGCTGTAAGTTGGCTAGTTCATTTAAAGATAGATGCGAAGGCTCTTTTCCCAATGTGTTCTGCTAAGAACTGCACCTCAAATTCAGCAAATAGATGGATCTGGAAAGCATCATATTGACTGAGGTAACCCAGACACAGAAAGATAAATATCATATGTACTCACTCATAAGTTGTAACAGGAGCGAGCAGGCCTGCTTTTGGTCCCAGCCACCTAGCTTACACCTGAAATAATCACACAGAAATTGTATTAATTAAATCACTGCCTGGCCCATTATCTCTAGCCTCTTATTGACTAACTCTCACATCTTGATTAACCCAGTTCTATTAAATCTGCTTATCACCATGAGACTGTGGCTTACCAGCAAGATTCTAACCTACATCTGTCTCAGGCAGGAGATTCATGGCATCTGCCACTCTGCCCTTCTTCCCAGCATTCAGTTGTCTACTCCGCCTACCTAAGCTCTGCCCTATCAAAAGGCCAAAGCAGTTTCTTTATTCAACTAATGAAAGCAACACATAGACAAAAGGACCTCCTACACCAATAAGTGGCTTTTAGACATAAAGCAAAAAAAAATCGCCTATAAATTATAAATCACAGAGAACCTAGACAACAACAAGGACCCTAAGAGAGACATACGTGGGTCTAACCTACATGGGAATTAGAAAAAGACAAGATCTCCTGAGTAAATTGGGAGCATGGGGACCATGGGAAAGGGTAGAAGTGGAGGGGAGAGGAAGAGAGGGAAGCAGAGAAAAAGTCTTTATCTCATTTAAATCAATAATAAACTGAACTGTACCTCAAAGCTTCTGTAGTCTCCAGCTCTTGCCTAGATTCATTACTCTCAGGGCTTTCCTTGGAGACAGTGAGTGATGAATAAATTCACAGACTATTTCTGTATCCAGGATGGAGATTTTCACAGAAATGCATCTATCATATAAAATATAGAAAGAATAAAAGATTATTTTTATGGGTAAATAGTGGTTGACTGATAAATACTCAGGTAGTAGAAAAACAGGATTTCAACAAGAAGAGAGTTATGACGTGTGGAGCGTGCAGAGGGTTTATAGGAAGGGTGCTGCTTTGAGGCCCCTGGTGGCATACTGGAAGAGAGAGACATTGAGTCTGCAGAGGGAAAGTAGCATGGTGGGTGTTGGAGTAAGTGCAATGTTCTTAGAGAAAAGAGAAATTATCGCCAGTACAGCTTGTGTCTCCTCTGACAGTTTCTAGATTATCAGTCTTGATCTGCTCTTCTAGACAAATGAAATTATCTCTTCTATGGATACATAGTAATTAGCTTTTCTCATAAATCCTCTCCTTTTATCCCCATTTCTGTCTTACTGTCTACTCCATCCTGAACCAGTGTCCTCGTTCTTTCTGCGTGCAGTAGCACCCCTCTTGTGTCTTGTAAGCTCTTATTTAATACATTGGTTCTCACTGAAGTTCACCTTCAGAGGGACATTTGAGTATTTATTACTGCTATGTAGGGAAAGTGATATTATTACTGTTATATAGGGAAAGTTGGTTTGTGTCTACTGAGCTGACAGATGTTCTACAAAGAGTAGGATGATTTGAAATAATGAAGATTTATTTCATATCACACATGGCATTTAGAACCCTTACAGGATATTAAACAGGAGAAAAGCAGATTGGTAATTATCAGAACCTAGAGTTGTATATTTGCACAGAACCAGTGATATTTTTATACTGTTTTAAGGTTCATTGTGTCATAGGAGTACATCTATACAATATAATTTTTTCTTTAAAACGATATACTGTGATTTCTATTCTTTTAATTAGTGGTGGTACAATATATTGTTTTTCTCTAAAGTGTATGTTAAATGTCTTGTACTTAAATTGTCTTTGTTGACTATGGAAAGCTCCAAAACACACACACACACATGTGCACAAGCATGTCTGCATGTGCTTATGTGTGTGCGTGTGCAAGCGTGTGCACACACACACAAACACACACTCACACCACAAGCACTTCCTGGTGTTTCATCTCTTCCTCCTTTCACCGTGAGACTCAGAAAAATGCTGCCTCTCCTTACCATTATTCTGGAAGTATTTGGGGGAGATGAATTCTGTGAGAATTTCAGAACTAAGGAGTTTTTATGTCTCCTTAAATAAAAGAAATAGGATGCATTCATACTGAAATTGAGAAGCATCCCAATTAAAATAAAAGAAAGAAAATGCCCTGACTCAACAGTATGAGAGAAAGACCTCCAAAGATAACATGGAGTTTTGTGTGTGTGTGTGTGTGTGTGTGTGTGTGTGTGTGTGTGTGTGTGTGTTGATCATATCTGCTGCTGGGCATGGGGCCTGCCCTGAAGAGTGGTTTGTTACCCAATAAGACTCCCTTAGGGAAAACTAATCTTTCCTTATTTAGTGTCCATCAATTGGAGAGAGCTTCAGGGTTTGGGTTGGGGGCATGTGTCTACTTCTCCTTTTCATTCTAGAACCCCATATGGTGCAGTCCCTGGCAAGCCCTATACATATTGCCTCAGTCTCTCTGTGACTTCATGTGTAAAGTAGCTCTGTTTTGTCTAGACATTGAATCCTCGGTGTCCTCTATCACCTATAACTCCTAAACTCCTTTTCATCCTCTTCTTCAGAGTTCAGATATTTACATTACAATTCATAATGGTAGGAAAATTGAAGTTATGATGTAGCAATGAAATAATTATATGTTTGGGGGTCACAAAAATATATGGAACAATATAAGTATTAAAGGGTTGCAGCATAAGGAAGGTTAAGAACCACTGATCTATTTCCTTTCTTAGGAAAGTTCATTCCTCTCTCACTGCCTCCCTCCCTCTGTCTTTAATCATTAAACATATTTTAATGGTTATATAGGTTATAACTTTCTTATCAATGACTTATCAACTAATATCCACATACAAGTGAATTTTTGTCTTTCCATATACCATACTGACTTTTGTCTAGTTCCACCCATTTACCTCCAAATTTTATGATTTTTCATTTTTAATGGTTGAATAATATTCTGTTATATAAATGTCCTATGTTTTCTTTATCTATTTATTCATGGATGGGCATCTAAGTTGTTTGCAATTTCTGTCTATTATTAGAGCAGCAATGAACATGGTTGAGTAAGTGTCTCTGTAGCAGGATGAAGTGTCCTTTGGGTATATGTCCAATAGTGCTATAGCTGGATCTTGAGAAGATACATTCCCATTTTCCTGAGGAACCATCACATTGATTTTCACAGTAGTTGTACAAGTTTGCACTTCCACCAGCAATGGACGAGTGTTGTTCTTTCTCCACATCCTCTCCAACATAAGATGTTATTTGTCTTATTGATTTTGGACACTCTGGCTAGTATAAGGTGACATCTCAAAATAGTTTTAATTTTCATTTTTCTGACTAAGGAAGTTGAACATTTTAAAGTATTTCTTAGCCATTCATGTTCCTCTTTTGAGAATTCTCTGTTTAGATCTGGTCCCCATTTTTAATCAGGTTGTTTTCTTGATGGCTAGCTTTTTTTTAGATCTTTATATATTTTTTAAAGATTTATTTATTATGTAATAAAAAAGAAACTCCATCCTTTTGATTGAAGGCTTTCCCACCATCGCCCTTGACAATTTCCAACCCATACGCTCCTTTTATGAGTTCTGCTTTTTCAGACTCTAGAGGTAAGTGAGGTCAGAGTCCTTTGTCTTTCTGCATCTGGCTTCCTTAGATCAACAGTTTTTAGAATCATGCGTTTTGTTGCAAGTATAGTTCATTACTTTTTAAGATCACATAATATTCCATTATATTTATCATATTTTCCCAATCTTCATCTGTTGATGGAAACAAATTGTGTACAAGCTCATTACTTCTTAGGAGCCTTTGCTAACTGCGGATAAAAGTAAGTGCAACCCATGTTTCTTGCCAGCTGTTTCCTTAGAGACATAAGCTTGGAAGTTATGTGGTCTATTTTCCAACCTATCACAGGCAAGAGTTTTATTAATTTTTCTGCTATTTTACCTTAATCTTAACTTTTCTATCTGCAAACATCTGTTCCCTTGCTGCCTGTTCCCAAGGAATACATAAATGAATATTTAGCTTTATGTTAAGGCCAGTATATTAAAATATCAACTTCTAAATTGCTCAGAGTAATGCTATTTGTTGTACAAATAAGGCCCTAACTTCAGAAGCTAAATATAGTAGAGATTTAATTTTAAACCTTAACAAATAGAAGGTTTTTCTAAACTTCTGCTTTGTTTTATGCAATAACTCATTTTGGGTTTCCCTTACTCTGGGGCCTCACAGGCCCCTTTGTAAACAGAGAGAAGGCTCTGTTTTCTGAGAGCCTTTCTTGAAATGGACATTTGCCTGTGTTTTGCTGTCAACAACTGGTCACAGTTCCTCCACTGATGCAAAGATGCTTCTTAACAACGTCCTTAATCTGGATGGGAGCAAAATGAGTTGGAGTTGATGTCTAGTCACATTCTTTGCATTTGAGATATGAAAACGAGTTGTGACAGATGCCTAGTGGCTTCTGTTGCATTTTAGATATGAACACGAGTTATGGTGGATGTGTGTCTAGTGGCTTCCATTGTATTCTAGACAAGAACACGTGGCGCATGCCTAGCGGCTTCCATTGCATTCTAGAAATGAGCACGTGTTGTGGCGCATGCCTAGCGGCTTCCATTGCATTCTAGACATGAACACGCGTTGTGGCAGATGTCAAGTGGCTTCTGTTGCATTCTGGACATGAGCATGAGTTGTAGCAAATGTTAAGTGGCTCCTGTGGCATTCTAGCTATGAACTTCTCTCTCCCCTTTGACAAGGATTTTGTGACTGAAACTATCATGTAACAAAGCTAGAAATCATCTCTACTCTTGTTGCTATTTCATAGTAATATGGTTTTAATAGAATTCCTGTGTATTTTGACTATAATAATTATTAGGGACAATATACATAATGTTTTGACATTCTGCTCATCAATTTTCTATTAGTTTAAACTTTTTTGGACTTTATCTGATATGAATGTTTTTCCTTCCTGTACACCATTTGCATGTGTTGTGCTCATGAAAGTCAGAAGAGCATCAGATCCCATGGAACTGGAGTTAATAGTGGTTGTAAACCACCAGGTGGATGCTGGGAACCAAACTTGGGTCCTCTGTAAGAGCAACAAGTAAGATAAATCCCTGAACATCTCTCCAGTTCCCAGCTTTGATTATTATAGCAGACACCAGAGGCAATTACTTATAAAGAAACACATGACTCACAGTTAAAAGTTTATTGGTCCCATTACTTTGGCAAGGTGGCATATGGTGGAAGCACATGGCAGGGAAAACCCATCCCCATCAGGATGCAGGGTGCATGAGAGAGGTGCACTGGATTCTGCCATCTCCTAAAGACTTCCCAGGAGGCCCCACCCTTAATAGTTTTACCACCTCCTGATTTTTTTTTGAGGCTTAACCTTTTATCACATGGGTTTTTGCACAGCTTTTGAGAGTCATATTATGACAACTAAAAGCTAAAGGTTTTTGACATGATCAAGGAGAACTGAAAAAACATCTCAGTAACGTTGAGCTCTGTGGTCCTAATGTGTCATTGATGAAATTATGTCATTTAAAAATGAGCAGACAGTTGAAGATTATTAATGTTCAGTAAATAGCCTGCAACATAAAAGCCTTATTACATAGGAAATGTTTAAATCTGGCTTAGAAGGAGCATGTAACACATGAAAGTCTGTCAGTATTGACTGATTATACTGGACATTGATTCAGATTATTGGTTGTTTTAAATTTAGGACTTGGATTTATGATGCTAAAAGGTCTAAGGTGAACTCTTCAGGAGGCAGTTTGCCTGCAAAGAAAGCAAGCAGGCAAACAACAACCAAATCTAAACTACAAGCCAAGATCCAGCAGCAATCTGAGAAGTAATTTAGTAACTCATTCCAATTGCAATGAGAACAGCCTACATTGTCATTCTCTGGGCCTGGCTCAAAGATGAGTTTAGTAATTTACATTTGTTTACATAAATGTAACCTTCTCCTATAGACTCATAGAAAAATACCAGGGAGATACATTGTAGAACCATCAGCAATACACCACCAACACATGAAAATATTACTAAAATGGTTATGCAGTCTCAGAAGCCTGTGCTTAGTTTTGGACTTAGTTTAACAAACCCACTACAAGACTTATTTCACAGTGGCAGCTACAAAGACCTCTGAGAAGGGGGCTGGAGAAGGGGGCTGGAGAAGGGGGCTGGAGAAGGGGGCTGGAGAAGGGGGCTGGAGAAGGGGGCTGAAGGATCTGGAGGATCTTAGAGGAAGGTTCTATCTCTGCATTCAGGCTTTTAACTGTATCTTGAATCTATAGACTTTAGTGGCCATTGGGGTTGTCACTAGATATCTCCCCCAATAGCTGTATGCTCTGATGACCTCAAGGGAAGTTTTTTGGGACACGATACAGAAAGGGAGGATACTGCCTTAACTATAATATCTCTGGAAATAAAAAGTTAAGAGTTGATACTTACAGGATTTGGAGTCATGAACATTTTAATGGAGAGCATTCAGTGGAGAATTTAACTGGTAAAGTTTGTATATAAAATTTTAGGGTTATTAAACACAGGGTAGAGGTTTACCAGTCATAGTAGGTGAGTAGTGGAGGAAAGGTTCATCTGTTCTGAGAAGGGCATTGCTTGTCCAGACAAAGAGAAGAATCAGTATTATTTTGAGAAGGGTACCCAATTGATGATTGAGCCTTTTGCTTTTCAGGAAGATCATTCTGGGGAGGCCTGAGGTAAACACTGAAGCTATTCACAGGTTTACAGCCTTGTTTTCCTGGCTAAAAGTTTGAGGGAGTCAGGAGAAGGTTATGTGGAATGGAGGTGGGCCATAATTCCTCATGTAGTTAAGCCATATGGATGCAATTGTTCTAGGTTCTTCTATTTCACTAAGTTATATGTTTCCCCCTTAATATGGTGCACATTGTGAGATCTATTGAACTAAACATATGATAAACGCCAATTGCATCTATTTTTTTCAACTCTTGTAATTTTGTGTCTTTATGTCTGAATAAAACTTTATTGTATATATGCACCACATCTTTATTCATCCTCTCATCTGTTAAGGACACGGGCTGATTCCCTAACATGGCCCTTGTGTCTCCATGCCTCTATCTCTGTGTTCTCCTCACTGTGAGGTCCCTGTCGACCATTCTTTAAAAGGATTCATTTTCATCTATTCCCATTCCATCCATCAGCATCTCTGATCTCCTTTCTTGTTTTACTTCGTCTGGTGGAATGTAATACTCCTTGGAATGATTCATATTTTATTTATGTATCTTGCTCTGTGTTTATGTCTTAAAGCTTTTTATCCTTAATAGAATTTTACTTGTGTACATGTTCCACAGTTGTACAAATTTGTTAATTTTTCTGTCTTGATTGATGTATCTGGCTGTTTCCAGAAGCAGAGTGCAGGTTAGAGGGAAAACTTGAATTGTACCTGCTTTGACCCTCATAGCTAAACTAAGCAATCGGTGGCTTATTCATTTGTGTTCTTTATTGTATATAGACCAGTCTAGATACTCATCACACCCCTACTCAAGTGGATGGAGGAAAGCCCAGGAGGCTCCAACCTCTACACAAAAAACTTCAGGCAACTAAATAATGCTCAGAGTAGGAGAAATAGTCTTATCCAGTGACAAACACACCAATTAATTATCCAGACCAGTGATCAACAGACTGACTGATGATTTCATGTATTTAGGAAACACATGGAACAACAATTAATGAAAATGAGACCATAAATTTGAAAGAGAGCAAGGCGAGGGATATATAGGCAAATTTAGTGGGAGGAAAATGGTGGAAATAGGATATAATTACAATTTCCAAAAAGAAAATAAATAATTAAAATCAAAAATATATTGTATTCATTTTATAGTGCACGTGTATGTGTGTGTATGTATGCACATAAAGATAGATACACATTTATTTTTTAAAACAGGTTATCAGGACACCACATGGGAGAGACTTTGAGGATCCCTTCGAAAGGTGTGAGGAATATCTGAGCCCAAGGCCATGTACCAAGCCCCAGCATTCTGCAAGGACCTTACTAGTCCATTCAGCACCCTCAACAGCACCAAAGCATTGTCAAAGCCCTGTGCTAAATAGAGGCTCTCTCAGGGAAAGGTAAGTGTAGTTTCTGTTTTTCTTCATTTTTCTTTTCTTTCCGAACAGAAAGACTGAGTTCAAGGCCAGCCTGGGATATACTTTTCATTTTTTGAATGTTTGGCATTAGAAACAGGGACCAGCATATTCATATAATGTAATTATTTATAAAATTAAATTTTAATTTTGAAGCTTACTAAAATTGTTTGCTTGGAATAGATTATATATTATGTTGATATTTCTCCCTACCACAGTTCACTTGAAGTGAGTTTGTTAGCCAGATCTGGACTCTATTCCTAATTAGTTAATGTAATTCCTAAAGTGAAAATCTGAATTGTGATAGGTTGTTTTAGCAGACCCATTTTGGCGGAAGCTGCTTGTTTGTTTTTGGTTGCTTAGACCTGAAATAATCACACAGAAACTATATTATTTGCAATACTGTTTGGTCAAAGCTTAAGCATCTTTTTATCTAGCTTTTATATCCTAAACTAACTCATCTCCATTAATCTGTGCATCACCGCGAGGTTGTGGCCTACCAGCAAAGTTTCAGCAGGCTCCGGCAGAGGCATCTGTCTCCTGTGGCAGCTACATGGCTTCTCTCTGACTCTGCCTACTCTCTCTATAAATCTTTTTCAGCCTGTCTTTACTCTGTTAAGCCATTGCCTGAAAGCAGCTTCTTTATTAACCAATGGCAATAAAAGATGTTCACAGCATACATCACCTCCCATATCAGACCCGTAGTGATTTATTATTATTGATTAACCCTAAGTATAGAAATAACCTAAGCTGAATTTTCTGATTAGTCTCAGTGGTGAAGCATGCATTGATGTGTGGCATCTGGCTTCTCATTTACCTCCTGCCAGCAATCTAGTAGAATATAAACCGTGGAAAGAGTAAAGCACTCCCTCTAGGAATGCTTGCATCCAAGTCAGAAGGGTGGTTATATGTTGGCATGGAAAAAAACCCACCATTTTTATATAAGACAATTCTTTACCCATTTAAAAATTCTAGGTTATTTAAAAAAAATTTTACAGAAAAAATGAAACTTGGGAGATACATTTTCAACACTTTGACTCTCACATTCCATGGTTAGAGATGGCATAAAAAAGTAGCCAGTGAATTCTTAAAACATATTAAGTTCATTCACCAGGCATAATTACAATTATTTAATTAGCTGTAGAGACACTATCAATAGTCTGGATGAACAAGCTATCTTGAACAAGATTATAGCTGCTGCATTAAAACATTCTGTTCTGAACAGATAGATTTATCTGTTTCTTCATTAGCTTTGTAAACATTTGGACTGGGAGAGGGAAAAGGGGAGGGAGAGAATGTGAGTATATGTGTGATGCTGGCCTTTTGGTAGTGAGATGCAGAATATTTTTTAATTTACTTTGTTTTTTAGAATTTCATGCATGAGTGTTAAATTTATATCATTCCCCTTTCCTCCCTCTGTTAGGCTCCTCCCATGTCTTTCCCTACCCCCTCTTAAATTCATGACCTCGTCTTCTATAATCATTATTGTTACACACACACACACACAGTACACATACGTACTGGATCCATTTAGTATTGCTCATGTATACATGTGTTTAGGTCTCAGAATTATGTAATCTATAGGGGTCTCTTTCCTAGAGAAATCTGATTTTCCTTTCCCTTAGTAGCCACTGATTTCCTGTAACTCTCATCTAGGGTTGGAGCCTCTGGAAATGCCCCGCTTTTATGTTCATGTTTCCCAGTGCTGTCATTATGTAGGTGTCTTGTTTATGCAGCTATATTTCTGAGATTTCATGTGTGCATCATCCCTTCATGTCTAGAAGACACTATCTTGCAGTAGGCATCCTGGTGCTCTGACTCTTAAGGTCTTCTCACTCCCTCTTCAGTCTTAATCCCTGAGCTTAAGTGTAGGGCTTGTGTTGTAGATGTACCAATTGGAGCCAGCCACCTTGCTATCACTTGTTCTCTACATTTTGATGAATTTTGATCGATGCCATTTCTAGTTCATTAGAATCATGTCTAAGAGGAACGGTATTGGGATATAGGAGAGTTCTCACATGGTGTGTGTGCGTACATACACGCACATGCGCGCGCACACACACACACAGGGACCTGAGTTATTTTATTTGTGTATACAATGCTAACTGTAATTTTTTATTGAATATAGCTAAAATTAGCTGTCCAATTATATTTCAGTGGAAGAAATACCTTAACAATAAATGTAACTGTTTACATTCTTTCTCTTCCATCTTCCCTCGAGTCTTATTGAAACCTGGTTTCGCTCTGTAACCTCAGCTGTCCTGGAATTTGCTATGTAGACCAGACTGGCCTCACCTTGTGCTGATCCTCCTGTGTCTGCCTACGAAGAGTTAGGATAATTTACTTTCATGCCAAATAAATGTGGTTAAGCTTTTTGCTAAAATAAAACGAGTGCTCTTAATATTCAAAATTGACTGTTTTACTTTTGATTCAGTGAAAATAAGGCACATTTCAAATAATAGTGAATTAGTTTGAACTCATGTATTTAATCTATAAAGAAGGACATACCCCTAGCATTCAACTCATATTACTAGGAGCAAATCGTTTTATTCTTTCCAGGACTCAGTAGCCCTCTTTAAATGGATGGCACTCTCAGGTTTGGTGTTTCTAGGTCACTAGCGATGCATTTACAGGTGTTTACACAATCCATTGTAGTCATGACACAGTTGTAAGTGAAACTGAAACCAATGTGTATTGTCTATCCCAGGTCAAAGTCTGGTCTAGAAGTTGTATGGGAGCCTAGGCAGTTTGGATGCTCACCTTACTAGACCTGGATGGAGGTGGGTAGTCCTTGGACTTCCCACAGGGCAGGGAACCCTGGTTGCTCTTTGAGCTGAAGAGGGAGGGGGACTTGTTTGGGGGAGGGGGAGGGAAATGGGAGGCAGTGGCGGGGAAGAGACAGAAATCTTTACTAAATAAATAAATAAAAATAAAAAAATAAAAAAAGAAGTTGTATGTCAGAGGCACAGCGTCAGAAGTTTATATGTATAGTACTCATTAAAATTACATTTTCTCTAAGATTACAGTATAAGATGCTAACTCTTTGATCATGGCTTATAATAAACAGATTTTAAAAATGTTATCAGTTTATGCCAATGAATTCTTGTTTTAGTCCAAATGCTTTTCTCTTTTCACCCACTTAAAAAATACCTCCAGAAATTTCCACGCCATAAAATGATTTCAATTTTGATTGTATTTCAGGAGCACATTTTCTCTAAGTATAAATATTAATATTATGACCCAGATTTGTTTTACACTTTACAATGTTGCTAAAATCAGGCTTAGATATTAGCATACCTAATTAAAAGGGAATTGGTGCCCTTTTAAATCATGCTAAGTTTTTTTTCTTTTGTAAATCATATTAAAGAGTGTGAGGCAAGCATTCCTTACGCCATAGCACAGACTAGTGGATCTAGAAGCTCATAGTGCCATTGGGAGGCTCTGGAGTTGCACAGTTGGATCTTAGCGTTCCACAATGGGCTTCATGTACTCAAATAATTGTTCTACCAATCCACTGGCATAGCTGAAACTAGTTTTCCTTTTGTCTATGTGAGAGATTGTTTGGGATTATCTATTAAATTGATTGTCTATTGATTATGTCATTTAAAGCTTATCATTTCAACATCACCTATTTAATAACCTATACTTTGTGTAATAGTGTAATATTCTAATTTTGTAAGTAAGAACAATCTGGGAACAAAAAGGGAACCAGATTTAAGTAATACATTAACACACTATTTTTTATAGGGGAATTATCAATAACACTTTAAATACATGCATTATAATTAAGGGAATCGGGAACCTTTCAGGATGACCTGAATAAAATAAAATAAAATAGCTTAATTATATGAATGTCACTTTTGAATTAAAGAAGAGCAGAATGAAAAGATGTTTTATTTCTTCTCTGACATTTTAAATCCCAATGTGCAGACTTTAATTAAATGTATAATTTTCTCATCTATATTTAAATACTTCATTCCTTTAAAAGTTTGATTCTCATAGCGGATAGAGAGGTGATATACCTTTGTTGAGATGGGACCATCTTGTTCCTATTCGGAAATGGAATATTTCAGAATAATTCCCATTCTGAGTGGAAATGGAAATATGAGTAGATTCTACGTATTTTTTTTTCATTTCACACACACACACACACACTTTGCTTATTTCATAAAATTTGTGGGTTGTAACTTCCTGTTTCTTCCACATAGTTTTAGGGGATATCATTTATTAGAAAATAAGTGCTAATTTTAAAGACAGTGTACATGGAATTATTCTTCTGATGCGAACATCTACATCTTTATGTAGAGATAAGTGCTAAAGAGTGATGTGTCAAAATCATTATAGTGATCAGATATGTAGGTACCGTCTCCCAAATACATGTCAAAGTTAATTATTAAGACTATTTTTAGACCTTGCAGAAAATTGATAGGGCAGTTGAGAATGAATGCGTAAATGAGCTCTTTCTCCTCATTGCTGGTCACAGGGAGAAACTATATTATTTGGAGGTTGTAAAGTTTGGGGAAAGTTTTGTTTCTTTCCTCTCTTTAAGAGCTACTTTTCTTTGTACCCACAGGTTCCACTCTGACTGGTGTTCACCTTCAAACTGCGATGAGATCCACGACCGGGTCAAGGACGTCCTGAAATCCCATCAGGCTCACGCAAGGCATATCTGCGTTAGTTCCTAGTGTTTTCTCTTTTTAATAATATAGTTCTTATTTTATTAAATAGGCTCCCCAAACCAGCCAAGGTGCTTACAGGTTGTGATTCTTAGTTCTGCAGAAGGAAAATACATTCTCTGAAGGAATTGCTGGGTTTACTAGAAGCCACATAACTAACTTCCTGCTTGGCCATAGTCATGCAGAATGCCTTTTGATTATTGTCTTTATGTACTTTATTACATTTATTTATCTGTTTATTTCTTTAGTGAGTGTGTGTGTGCATGCTCGCATGCATACAAGTACTGTGATACACGTGAGGTCAGAGAACAACTTTGGTGGAATCACATCCATCAATTCTCTCCTTGAACCATGTGTGTCCTGATTTTGTCCAGGTTAGAGTGAGGTCATCAGGGCTGGGAGTGAGTGCCTTTACTGGCCAAGTCATCTTGGGGACTTAAGAATTTTTTTTTTTGGTTTCATGTTTTACTATTATACTAGATATTTAACATTGATCTTTTGAACTATAAGCATTTTTAGTCATTATTATCTTATAAAACGTCACAGAAGAGTTACTTCATAATAATCATTTCAGAGTTCTCATATTGTTGGAAGTCTTGTTCTGTGACCCAGTGAGAAGATTCCATCTGGGAAAGGTGTATTTGGTTCTCTAGGCAGACAAGGGACAAAGGGGACGTGTGGAGTACCTCGTTCAAATCAGTTCTCGAGTTGACCTACATGTCAATAAATATACAGAAGAGAGAAGAGCAGGTCAGGGTTTAGCTTCATTTTAGGGAAGAGCAGGATACAATATTTTCCGAGATAAAGTACACAAATGTGTTTATATTTGTGGTAACTTGGAGTCATAACACTATACTATTTTTGTGTTAGGTTTTTGGATTTCATTCACTAATCTACTACTACTTGTTGTAGTTTGTATTTTCCAAAAAAGTCATATCAGTTTTCTTTTACAAAAGTAAAAATCTTGCATTTTAATTAGGATTGTTGTAGCTTTTGTTTAGATTAAAATTTATATTTCTTTTTCCTTTTTACCACTTTAGTTATTCAATTTTTAAAAACTATTGTGTTTTGGCCTATTGCTCTAACATGCACACAGGACAAATTATTTGTTTGCTGACTTCTCTAATAGTACTGTGACGGGAAATGTTGAACTTTTTGTATGTTTATTATAACACATGTTATTTCTACATTCCCTAATAATTTGCTATACCCTAAAATGGAGTACTATCTACAAATGTACATTTCTACATTGCTAAAACACAAAAACTCGTTGCTTTCTGTAAGGTAGCAGTTATCTGCTTTAGGTTCATATCTATCCTGTTCTTCATCTACGAGCAGCGAGAAGCAGACTTTAAATTGGAATCTTTAGTATTTCCGGCAGTATCAGATTGAACGTTTTTAATCCTACCAAAATATATGTGGTCTGGGTGTGGTGTGAAGGGGAAAACGTGGATGAAGAAGAGTAGAGCAGAGAAATGTGCGACTCTGACAGAGTGGAAGATTAAGTATTTGAAACCTTGTGAGCTTTAGAACCCATGATGTAATGATTTCTTTTTTCTTTCTTTCTTTCTTTTTTTTTTTTTTGGTGCTGAATCCTGTGCATATCAGGCAGATGCTCTGCCAGTGAGCTGTGTTCCCAGTCCATTTGTGGTTAACTTTTAAAATGTTTTATTTCTATTTTATATGTAGGAACATTTGCCTGAATGTATGCATTTATATCATGTATGTGTCTGGTGCCCACAAAGAGCAGGAAAGGGCACCGAATATCCTGGAACTGGAGTTCCAGATGGTTGTAAGCCACTGTTTGCGTGCTGGGAACTGAGCTCGGCCCTCTCTGAGAGGAGCAAGTTTTTTAACTGTTGAGCCATCTCTCCATCTAATTTTTGATGTCTTAAAGCCCCAGCATACTTTTAAAAATCAAATATTGACAAGCATATTCTAAAAGACACATAGAAAAGAGAACTTATAATATCAGAAGAAGAATCAGTAAGATGACGCAGAATGTAAAGGTGCTTGATGCCAAACTGATGACCCACCTTTGATCCCTGAGAACTCATATAGTTGAAGGTGACAACCTATTCCAGACCTGTGTTGTGGCACATGTGTACATGAGCACACATATACACACATAGGCACATGCATATGTGCATTTAAATTATTTTTAACAATCTTGCACATGTATACAAGGAAATATGGTCATATCTGCCTCTTATTCCACCTCTTACCATTACCACATGTCTCCAACATAACTCCTTCCAATCTCTTGTCTATGCCTTAAAAAATAACTCACTAAGTCTACTTTTGTGTGTGCTCTGCATTGGAGCGTGGAAAACCTTCTCGTGGCTACACCTTCAAAGAATATTGATTCCCCAACAACTCTCCATGACCAATGAAAAATTTCTCACAATTGGCAAGTAATTGGTCATAGATAAGGAGACATGCTGACTAAATGCGGTGGGTATTCTGCACTGAACCCTGTCAGAGCAGAAGGGCATTGTCGAGAAGACTAGAGACCCAAATACAGCTGGCAGCCAGTGTGTCGGTACTGTGCGGATGAGAGAGTCTTAGCTTTGCTGAGCATACCCTGGTTTTCTCAGATGTGCACGCGAAGAGACCCTTACTGAAAGGGGGCACTTCTGTGTATGCTTCTGTATCCTATTTGCAACTTTTCAGTGAATTTAAGATTGTATTCCAAATTTTAAACAGTAAAACGTTATTGAGAGTTTCATTTTAGTCCTCTCAATTTTAACAAGAGTTGGTGTGATTCCAGGTTTCGTTTTTTTCTCACAAGAAGGAAATTCTTCTGGTTGCTCAGCATGGAACTCGCTCACTTCCTTCTCCTTTGGCAGGATTTCTGCTTTAGTGCCTCCCTCATTCTGCAATTTCCAGCGCTCATCATGGAGGGGACAGTAAGCTCCATGTTGCACCCATGGAGTCTCACTGCAGTTCTGCTTCTTAGGTCTTTAATTTTGTCTGTCTAGCACAGGGGTTTCCTAAACCCCTGTGATTTCTCTGTCCTCCAGAGGTGGAACTGTTGAGCAAAGCAGAGAGTCTCGGCTTTTGTTCTCTGCTCAAAAGCCACAGATGCTCCCAGCAGAAAGCCGGCTGCGGACCATTATTAGTTCACCACTAAGGGGTGAGCTCCTCACCGCAATTCCTGTTGTCTGAGCAGCTTTCTGATGCTTTTAAATAGCAGAAGAGTTAATATAGTCAGTCTACTTCATCTTCCTATTCAGAACTAGGAGACTATCACTCCACTTCTTAAAATTAATTTTTTATTTGCCTCTGGCTTGACTTACTGGGACATAAAATAATGTTCCTCATGTTGGCTTATGCTAGGCGCTAACTTCAATAGAGTCCAATAGCAAATGGAGGACAAACTTATAATTAGGCAACGTTTCCTTCCCGCATCCATTCATACAGCGTCCTCTCCCCGAGTGGCTGTGTGCTCTGCACATCACTGTACAAAGCTCAGAGGCTTTTCTCGTGAAATCACATTTTCTGCCTGTATGGAGCACAGAGTATTTTAATAAAACCACCGAATGAATATGCAACAGCAAAACAACAGTGTGCTACAGCATGCAGTTAAGTGTTTGAATAAAAAGCATGATCATGGATTATTGTACTCTCAGAGAAAAACTGAAATTGGCACACAGAAAGTAATGTATAAACCATTATACATTAGAGGCTAGGCGCCGTGCCCACGTTAGTCTGTTTTTCCTTTCAGGAATCTTGTAAATCATTATTAGGCAATATGTAGTATTTTAAAGACAAGGAAGCTGACACTCAGGAAGATTAGTGACATGGATAAGGTTACACAGCCACTGTAGATGCTTTTAACCAGGATTTGAATTCAGGAGACATCCTTAATTTTGACTACTCCATTAGTTGGTGATGAGTACTAAGTATAGCCATATACACATGAACGCGGTGATGTGGTTACACTTAAGCACATGAAAATATATCCCGTTAGGAGTCATCGATGTGCACATGCTCAGGAAGTCAGTGTGATCACAGCAGACATGGCTGCCGATTGCTTGTTGTATCAGCATTTTCTCCCCCTTTTTTGGTAAGGAAATTAGGTTGCTAACTGTGAGTGGAATGTTGGTTTAGGGCAAGAATTAGAGTTTTGAATAAGACCTACCAAAGCAGTGTAATGGAGGAGTCAATCGGAAAAGAAGTGTGATTTGCCAGGAAAGATTGCAGTTTCGATCAGATAGTCTGAAATTCAAATTGTATCGCCGCTTTACGCCAGTCACTGAACTAAGTGATAATTTATGCCAACTTTGAAAACAGACTTGTGTCAAAGATATTTCTATAATTCCTTCATGGGTACTATAGGTTTTTGTATATTTAGTATATGCAACATGTTTAGAAGGACAGCCATGCATTAAGAATTTAGTAAACCTTGTTCTTTAAAATCTACACCTCCTAACTGGTCTGCAACTTCCAGTGCTACATAAACTCAGGCCCTCTGGAGCCCAGTAGTGTAAAGCAGTGATGTTCCCCAGATGGTCCAAACCCTGCCGTTGCCTCTGCATTCTCTCATTTGACACCTATGTCCCCTCCCCTCTGTACCCAAAGGAAGCCTGAAGTAGAGGCTAAAAGATATAAACATAAAGCTGGAGAGTTGGCTCAATGGCTAAGAGAACTTGTTGCTCTTGAAGATGACCTGGGTTCAGTTCTCAGCACCCACATCATAGTTCACATCGATTTGTAACTCCTGCTCCTTCTTTTGACCTCTAAGGCACACACATAGCGTATATACATACATACATGCAGGCATGCAAAACATGCACATATGATAAAATAAGTCTTAAAATCATTGGGAAGGGGGAATGGATGAAGAGAGAGAGAGAAGAGGGAGAAAGAGAGATCTCCAAGGTAAAGTGTAAATCTCCAGAAGATCCACAATGCTGTCTGCTAACCCTGAGCCTTCAAGGAAGAGCTAAAGCCCCAAAAGGCCCTGAACAAGTGCAAAGAAGGGAGGAAAGATT